GAGAGAGAGAGAGAGAGAGAGAGAGAGAGAGAGAGAGAGAGAGAGAGAGAGGAGAGGAGAGGGAGAGAGGAGGGAGAGAGGGAAGAGGGGAGAGAGAGGAGAGAGGGGAGAGAGGGAGAGAGAGAGAGAAGAGAAAGGGAGAGAGAGAGAGAGAGAGGAGAGAGAGAGAGAGAGAGAGAGAGAGAGAGAGAGAGAGAGAGAGAGAGAGAGAGAGAGAGAGAGAGAGAGAGAGAGAGAGAGAGAGAGAGAGAGAAGGGGGAGAGAGAGAGAGAGAGAGAGAGGGAGAGAGAGAGAGAGAGAGAGAGAGAGAGAGAGAGAGAGAGAGAGAGAGAGAGAGAGAGAGAGAGAGAGAGAGAGAGAGAGAGAGAGAGAGAGAGAGAGAGAGAGAGAGAGAGAGAGGGGGGGAGAGATGAGAGAGAGAGGAGAGAGAGGGGAAGAGAGAGAGAGAGAGGGGGGAGAGAGAGAGAGAGAGAGAGAGAGAGGAGAAGAGAGAGAGAGGGGGGAGAGGGGAGAGAGAGAGGAGGGGGAGAGGGGGAGAGTAAGAGGAGAGGAGAGAGAGAGAGAGAGAGAGAGAGAGAGAGAGAGAGAGAGAGAGAGAGAGAGAGAGAGAGAGAGAGAAGAGAGAAGAGAGAGAGAGAGAGAGTGAGGAGGATTGAGGAGTACCTGGCCGCGTCCCCACGATGGGGTGCTGGCCGACCCTGTTCTTGAATGCTTGGAGTTGACCAGGGGCACCACACTTGACCAGGGTTCTCAGCCCTGACCAGACGCCCCCCCTGCTTGGGCGTGCCCCCTTTGGCCTCTCTTGCCCACAAATTGCACCAGCAGAAGAGAGACAGCCTGCGCCACGCTACCTCCAGCCACTTCTAAATCAATAAACAGCGAACCAGAATTGTCTCTCCATAAACCCACCAAAGCCAGGGCAAAACAAAACCCTGACAGAGAGAGAGAGAGAGAGAGAGAGAGAGAGAGAGAGGAGAGAGAGAGGAGAGAGAGAAGAGAGAGAGAGAGAGAGAGAGAGAGAGAGAAAGGAGAGAAGAGAGAGAGAGAGAAGAGAGAGAGGGAGAAGGAGGAGAAGGAGAGAGAGAGAAAGAAGAAGAGAGAGAGAGAGAGAGAGAGAGAGAGAGAGAGAGAGAGAGAGAGAGAGAGAGAGAGAGAGAGAGAGAGAGAGAGAGAGAGAGAGAGAGAGAGAGGGTAGGTCTATTTCTATGTTCTCATATCAATTAATCTAGTCTTCAATTCCCAAGTACATTCAACAAATAACTGACTAAAGGGTATTTCCCCATGTCCATTCCCCAAAAATCTGCAGGCCCCCCCAGCCCCATTCCATACATCTCTCCTAACCCAGTGCTGATAGGTAAAAATGTTTGCAAGTGGACGTAATAACGTGATTGTTAGCGCGCTTCGGCAATTTCCTGTTTGCACCCGGCTCGATTGGTAGTTTGCAAGTGACATTTGGCTCCTAAAAGCTATTATATAGTTATAATTTATAAAAATATCATAATTTTAAAGGCTTACCTTTATAGGTGCCATTGCATAAAATGTTTACCATATAAATGAAGCCGCTACTATCAGAGAAAAACAATCTCCCTCCGAGGAGCCAGTGGCGCAGGAATGGGCAGGATATGATGCCACCTGTTTTTCGGTCCACAACAGCTATGGCATGTACGTACATGTCACCAGTCGGCTACGAGTTAAAGGAGTGGTTTAGCTGGCCTGGTCTTCGTCTAGGACCTGACTTGTGTCTAAGTGCGCCAGAGTGTGCAAAAAGCACTGCCGTAATAAACTGCATATGCCTCTCACTTGAATGACACTGTGCATAATACTTCGTACAGACTTATTCTCTGTTTTACGTTTCGTTTTTCATGGCATATATTTCTTTGAGAAAAAACAACAAGGAAACCAATTTAATCCGTAGCCGATGGGTGGCATGTACATACATGCCATGGCTGTTGTATCATGCCCATTCCCACGCCACTGGCTCATTGGACGGAGTTTGTTTTTCTCCGATAGTAGCAGCTTCATTTATATGGTAAAGATTTTAGGCAATGGCACCTATAATGAAGGTAAATCTTCAAAATTATATTTCTATAAATTATAACCAAATAATCGCTATTAGGTGCCAAATGTCACTTGCAAACTACCAATCGAGTCAGGTATAACCAGGAAACTGCCGATGCACACCAACAATCACGTTATTACGTCCACTTGCAAACATTATTACCCGTCGGCAGTGGGTTAAAGATTCAAAATTATTAACACTAGTCTGATGGGCCGTCGACCCTCAGTTTCAAATTAGCCATTTCCACTTTATTTGTTTTAGCTAATAAAAAACAAATGATTATTACTAGCTAAATATTTTACATAAAATCTAATAACTTTTGGCTTTACATACAATGAAAATTTCTTTAAACAAATTAGACAATTTTAAATTGCACCCTAGAATGCCCTGAGATACCCAAGGTGTTATCGCTGGCTTCCGTCACCCTTCAGATTTCACACCAAAGTGACAATTTGGTCCAGATAGTTGCCCTTACAGCCAGACCTAGACCTGCACCTACACAAGACCAGTTGAAACATGCCCTAAGTTATCAGTTGCATAAGAAGTCTTTACACCTATAATTCAGCATGTTTGTAGTTTAACTATAAAAGCGTAAATATCAGTGTTGTGACATTAATAAATATACATCTCTATCAGAAACAGAATAACCAGCCATATACAAAATGTGATATACTTATTACCAACAAATTTAAAACAAGGCTATATTTATCAATAAATTTGGTGGTTTCATTCTGTGATTTCACACCTAACTGAGATTAATGACAACAGTTACTAAGATTTATAAACCATTAGATCAAATATAAACTACTCAAACCTAAATAAATAACTTGTACTTTGAGACATCCTAGTACTAACTTAATAATTTATTCTAAAAATGCCCTGTATCTCTCAGGTGATAATCAAATCCACTTGAAATCAACCTGAATCTGTAATAAAGGATTAGCAACATGGATACTAGAAGATATCTTCAATTTGAGGAAAAATGCAAAAAACAAAAATAGGAAGTAACATACACAAAAATGAAAACTCATCTGAAAGAGAAATTACACAATAAACATTCCTGGGGGAAAAAAATCATGTCACACCATAACAACTATAACAACAAAGGACACACCTAAAATAATAACTGTTGTGTACTCTTGTCAAAAGCACCACACACCTGTAGTCAAACCAAACAAGCATAGTCATGTGGATCCTCGTAACTATTTGTGTGTTCTGCTACCACTATGCTAAGTGCTAGTGCTGTTCAAGATCAAATCTCAAAAATTATAAAATTTATGCTAAAATACAGGAACCATGTGGATGCTAGCCAGGTCAGACAGTGGAGTCATCTTCCATTGCTTATTTTTGCCTGTCAGGAATCAAATGTTTGATAAAAGTATTTTGAATGAACCCATCATTCTGCTGTTTGTATTTGCATAGCATACTGTCCTATTTAAAATCTTTTCACCTGTATGGAAATAAATAAGTTATCACTTAATAGATAATTCAAAGCATTCAACCCCATACTAAAATCTAAAAGTACATGCCAATGACATTTAGAAGCAGAACAACCACAGAACTTAACATGCATTAATCTACAATTTTATGGTAGTTACTTCCTGGCAATAAGTAGTTCCTCTTTCGACAAAAATGTCATGAGCATTATTTGCATCTTCAAGAAACCTTTTGTCTTGATTCATTAATTTTACTGCATTTGTTGATTTCTGAACTCAATATCTACATTTTGGACATTTGCATTCTCCACTAAATACATCAAAAGATATTTATATTCTGAATAGTACTGCCATCAGACTGTCATCATTCGATAGCTTAGAAATCAAACTCAGGATGCCCATTCATATTGCTTATCATTTACTGTTTCAAGATGCTTCTGTCCATAATCTTAGCTTTTAATGAACAATTAGTGCTGCTTTTCATTTTGCATTCATTTTATTGTTCTCTTTGTTACTTGATTAGAGGCCTTTGCCAAGAAGCTTCAATATTTAACTTCGTAATATATTCAACATTAAAGTGAAGAACTAATACACCACACAACTGAAATTTCACTAAAAATATTTGAGCATGCTCTGGTTAAGCTTGCCTACTAGGGAAATGACTTTTAAAGTTATTCAGTAAAAGATAATACCTTAATCTAAGTTAAACAACAATTAGACTACAAGTGCTGAAAGTGGCTCCAATTGTTATAATGAAAGCATTTTTTTTGACTTCCTTAAGTCTTACCAAGGCGTAAATGTGTTCATAGCCAGTAAGAAGGTTATATGAATTATACATCACCTCACTAACAGACTTTTCATATAAATAATTTTGGTTCAGCAAGTAGTAATTGTATAAGTCTGCATTTTTCTCCTGCTTCAGTATTCTGCCTGTGGGGACAAAATCTCTGGATATTACACAGCAAGTTGAAGCTTAGAGAGTGACTAGCTCACGTTGTGGTATTCTCTCGTCAAATTCCATCCATCCTTTTTGGATCATATTTTTTTCCTCCCAGAATAGTCCTGTAGGGAATAAAATTTGGCTATTTGCAAATTCAATATTAATACCTTATACTAATTGCAGGATTTCAACCAAACCATAAATAAGAAGGTGCATAATGAATGGCTATAGTACTAAATGTGCCTTGTGTTAGGTGTGTTAAGGTCATATCCCCCATTTAGATCAAATAACAATGACCAAAATCTGTGTATGCATCTAGATCCCTTACCTTAGACAGACTTCCCACATTTTATTCACATTGGCTGAAGTATTCAGTTGATACATCAATAACCTCTTTCTCATCTGTAAGTTTTGTAGTTGTTTCTCTCTCGCTCTTTTTACTATTCTACAGAATACTTTACCTGCAGTTTCAGGGTATGCTTTCTTTTTCTTTTGCATCCATTATGCATATTATATAAGTATATATATATTCTTATGGGAGGTTGGATGGATGGATTCACAAAACTTTTTCACTTAAAGGTTTTATTGTACTTGAACAACTGCAAGCCTAACTGCTAGCAGCACTTGTTAAGAATACAAAGGACAGACAATTCACATCTTGACCATGGCCTTTCTGTTTTTCCTTTTTTGTGTATTGTAAATTTGTCAGAAAGACAAAAGGAGCTCACATAAATTCAATTTACTTACAGTATCTTTTAGTTACTTCAAGTATAAAAATAAATGGACCCCCGAAGACACAAACAATTTTAAATACCATTAAAAAAAAAAAAGTTGGCCTATGGTCACTTTACACAAAAGTTCATTTTTACATTAATCCATTGTCATTACATACTTCTCACCCTAACAACCCCCTGGTTTGGTCAGTTACCTAATTACAAACACATTAGTAAACATAAAATTAATAATAGCCTCCACAGGGTACATGGATAATGTTTTTCTTACACTTAAGAAGCCATACACAATTCACTTCAATCTGCTGAGTAATTTCTTGTATTATATGATTTTCACTTTTATTACTAACATTTCATTATTATCTTTTACTTGTCACTCCATGCTTGTTTTTAAGCATCATTGTTCATATTCTGTTCCTGTCTTTTTCTTATTCATCTTCAGACTCTTCATGTTCATAAACATCTATTTTTTGTCTTTGGGCATCCTCTCTTCATTTTCACATTCTTTCATTATAAACTTCTATGACTCCACTGCCTTATTTTTGTTTTATGGTGATTTAATCTTTGTTGTTGCACAGCACCAATCAAGTCTCCCACTTGAACAGGTTTTTAAAGACAGTACTTGCTCCCCACAAACCTTGCTACATCCTCTATGTGCAACCTGGCTTTGCTGGGTTTGTGTAAAGGGCTTAGTACGTACCATTGTTGTAGCCTGCCTGGGACGTGCTGTACCCACCCCTACTGTCATAGTTGTCGAAGTTGCTGCCCCCATAACTTTGGCCGCCCCCGTAGCTGTTGTCATAACCAGAGTCTGGGAAGTAAATATATATGGCCTCATTATAATTCTAAATACTTTTATGGAGACCATCAGCCCGTTCAAAAGAAAGAGGGGGGTAGATGTCTTTTGACATGTGTCATGTTTTTCCCGCTTCTTTTCTATTTATACATGTAATGTTGTACTGTTTTTACCCTGTACAATCTTAAATACTGAAGTGAATTCCTTGTATGACCTAAAACAATTGCACACTATTTATATCCTTGTCTAGGATTTACAAAACCAATAAATAGGACCTTAAGATAATCAACCAGGACACCATGGGACATTTCCTGGGAGCGTTCACTCACTTGACTGGTATTTATCGTATCCACTGTTGTATCCCTGGTTGCTGTTGTAACTCTGGCCACTGTAATTGTTGTCATAGTTGGTAGAGTTATATCCTCCACCACCGTAGCCACTGCAACAAAAATGTTACCTTTACCCTCTCTCCTACACTAAGTTGGAAGCACCATCAAATGCTCACAAAATCACTAAGCCTACATCACCATTATGCCACTTAAAACAGATGCCAAGACATGCACCACCACCATCACCTATGCTAAATGTTCTACAGAGGAACTGACACTTTCCAACATATCACTGTCATCAAATTTTCCTTCTGTTCAATTTTTACCCAGTGACCTTTAGGTGTGCTAAGGAGACAGAACAAAGTTTTGGGGTGCACTCAAAGAATTATGACAAAACTAAAAAAATAATAAAAAATAAAAAGAATAAAGAAAAATAAATAAAAGAAATAATAAGGCAAGTTGCAAGCAAAAACTTGCATCAAATAAGCAATCCTTATAAAATGTGTTCAAGGAACTCCCAAGTAATCAGAAGGTTAAGATCAAGTGTGTTCATTTAAAAAGATCAATCAAATAAAAATCAAACAAGAGAGTTTAGATAAGTGAAAACATTTTTTTAATAAACTGAGTGACCAAAAAAGGTAGGTAGTATAGTTTAGTTCGTTTGGCCTACCTGTTACCGTAGCCACTCTCCCCATCCATCCTGGGCCGCTTCATGGGAGGGCCGCCATATGAACCACGTGAAGCCCTACAAAGAGACGCGCATCTAAGTAACCTACTGGTTCCTTTGATAATACCCCCCAAAAACTTGTGCTGATTCCTCACAACCTGGCTTGTCAACTATGCTTTTTCTTTTCTCTTTTAACTCTTATTTGAATTACGAGTTTGGACCTCCATCTTTAACACTTGTTCGGGTCACTGTTGTAATCTCATGGTTTGCATTTGCGTGCCATTTAACATGCATCTTTTATCTATTTTTTGTTATATATATACATCTTTTAGTTTGGGTAACAGCAACAAAAGATCCTAGCATTTTGATTGAGATTTTGCTAGAAACTGTCAGTTGCCAAAACACATGTAAGATATCACAACAATCAAGGACAGGAAGCTCAAAAATACACCAATTGCCTAAACACTGAAGTCAGTAATTGATTTAAAAAAACATAATAATAAATAACAATAAAAACAGAAAAGAAGAGAGGGGACCAAAGTAGCAAAATTAACAATTTCCTCCTCCTTTCACGTAAGCCACTGACAAGCCTATGTTGAAGGTCTTGTATCAAAAACAAAATTGAACGCCAAGCCTTATACACTCACCCTCGCTTCTGGAATCCACCATCGAAGTCTCCTCTGCCACGTCCTCTAGGAGCTCCACGTCCTCCATAGCCTCCACTGTTGTACCCTCCCCTGTAGCCGCCACCTTCACCAAAACCTCCACCATAACTACCACGGGGAGCACCACTACCACGACCTCGGAAACCGCCACTCGGTTTTGTCCATATGTGTTGCCCCTGAATCCTCCTCTGAAGTTTCCACGGAAGCCACCACGGTATCCACCATCTGGGCCACCCCTATAGAAGAAAGTTATAAAACCTATTTAATAATCACCTAAACAAATTAGTGCATATCTGCTACATGACGTAATTTATTGCAGATATTCAACAAAATGTGCCTATGCGGGGGGATGTCTTATCCTATGAAGGGGAAAAGTAAAAAGGAAGAGAGGAAAAAAAAAAAAGGAGAAAGAGGAGAAAAACTGGGAGAAAGGATGGAGTATGTGTGTAAATATATGTATGATGGCGAT